GAAGAGAGAGAAAAAGGAAATCATAAATATTCAAAGATGAATCAATTAATATAAAAATAAATAAACAAAACAACATAATTTTGGGGTTGCGGGAGATAAACTTATCTTCAAGTTGCCGGAGAAATATTTCTCTCTCTCTCTCTCTATGTATATGTATGTATATATATATATATATATATATATATATATATATATATATGGACGAGATCATTTGATACGATATAAAATTAAAAAGTTTGACATCAAATCTTAACTGTTGATTTTTGTTAATTTGACGGTGATAATTTTTTGAAAGTTAATAATTAATTTATAAGTGTGACCCAACAAATTATAACCGTTAAATTCACATAAATTAACAGTTAAAATTTGGTATCAAATTTTTTAGTTTTACACCAATATCAAATAATTTTGCCCGATATATACCCCTCTCTCTCTCTCTCTCTCTATATATATATATATATATATATATATATATATATATATATATATATATATATATATATGGGTCAGGATCATTTTACACCAGTGTAAGTTACACTCTCAATCTTGTCCAATGATCCCAGTTATATCTAAGGGCTCTAATTTTTTAGTATTATGAGCCATTGGATACAAGTGGATCAATGGTCAAGATTGGGTGTAAGACTTCTAACTCTTACACCGGTGTAAGAATATCCTGCCTCTATATATATATATATATATATATATATATATATATATATATATATAGGTAAAGTATTTCTCCAGTCAATGGAGATATGTTATCTACGGTAAGCACAAAATGATGTCTTTTTTGACGAAAATCAAGGTATTTTTATAATTCTAATTCATTACAGGATTTTATTAGTTTTGTCATTATAATTTTTTAATCTTCCAATCCTAGAACGACGTCGTTTGGGTTCACTAGAAATAATTTTATCTCCAGTAACTGGAGAAATATATAATAATAATAATAATAATAATAATAATACTAATAAAATAATAATACTAATAATAATAATAAGGGGAAAAATATCTAATGTTACTTTAGATAATTTTGTCTTGTGTTCATCGAAACGACATCGTTTTGAGATTGAAAAATTTAAAACTTAGAATGATAAAAACTATTATAACTCTGAAATATATTAAAATTATAAATACACTATGATTTCTGCCCCAAAATAATGTCATTTTAGCGAATATTAGATAAGTTATCTAAAATAACTTTTAGAAAAAACAACTAAGGGAAAAAAGTAAAGTACTAAGAAGCAGAATCGAAAATAGTATCCAACTGGGCTTGTTTTCTTGCGTTAAATGGGTAGAGAAATCAGGTATACATGTGAACAAAATAAGCACGCAACAGTCTACCCAAAAAAAAACAAAAAAAAAACACGCAATAGTGGATGTTAGAAAACTTGCTTACCAAGATGAAAGCCTTGATGTTTTCTCTGGTAAACTTTATCTCAGTGCTTTCATCTTCATGTATTTCCAACAAAATGTCAAGTAGATCCCTAAATTCAGCATATTCACCACCTTCTTTCCTTCTCTTCCTTTCCTTTTCATGCTCCTCTATCACCTTCTCCATCATGGTATCAAACCTGTCATGAATCTCTTTAAGCCTCTTCTTCATTCCATGCAAATCAAAATTCTTACAGAACCAAATAAAGTCTGAAACATTAAACTTCCCTGCAAGCTCTGCAGTGTCTATCACCATCTTTCTAATCTCTTCAACGTCATTATCACTTTCAGAACTCGTTTGGCTCATAGTCATTCTTGATATAATACTGTTCGCCAGTGTCAAGAGCTCTCCACCAACATCAACACCCTCACCAGCTTCCCCTTTCTTCTGCAAAAGTCTCAAAAATCTCAGAGTCTCTTGTTGTCTCAGAGGAAGAAGTTTATCAAGGTTTCGGCCACCAAGAAGCTCAGACATGCAAATTTTCTTCATGAACTTCCAATAGTTTCCATAAGGGGCAAATAAGAAACCTTTACAGCCATATGATAAATAGTGAACTGCATAATTTGTAAAACGGTTAGAGAAGCAAGTTTCATGTGTTTTAAGAAACTCTTTGGCGATTTCTGGATTTGAAACTACTACACAAGGTACAGAGCCAAGGAAAATTTGCATTATGGGTCCATAGCGAGTTGAGAGCTTGTGAAAACTTTGGTGAGGTAATTGAGAAATAAGGTGAAGGTTTCCGATGATAGGTAGTGCTGGTGGACTTGGTGGACGATGACCCTTGTTCTTCTTTTTTGTGAATATGGCTCGAACCAGAATAGTGGAGACTAGACAAACCAAGAAAAGTATGACATAGTCTTGAAATTCAGCCATATCTGATTTTTTTTGGAATAGAGCGTAAAATATGATGGTTATAATTTATAAGGTATAGTTGTCTTGTGAGAGAAAGAAAATGAAACTTGTGGGTTATGTCTATCTGCTTACTGAAGTAGACGTTTCTGTTTGTAAATAAATGCCAGTGGCATTACCTAAATTGGATGTTGATGCTGCACCAAGTGTAGAAAATAAATTGTTCATTATTCCTTCCTATTGGCTGGTCCAATTATATTGTTAACAATAAAACTTTGATATTAATTTCCACGTCATAATGATAATTTATTTATATTCAAAGAAGAAAGGAAAAGAAAGAATCTGAGTTAGATTCACACCAAATACATCTTTAGAGAGGGACAATGAATTTTAACTGTGATTAAGTCCCGGTTCAAGATTAATCTCATAGTCAGCTCAAAAAATTAAAACTTCTGAGAATATATACCTTGGGACCGACTCATCTTAAAATGATAATTAGGGTCGGTAAAAAAAATTAAATTGGTAAGGCAGAGGATATGACTAAGTTCACGGGTTACAACTGTGTCAAGCTGTGCACAAGTCCTGGGGTTGTGGTATCCTATGTTATAATTGAATTTGAATTATTTTTTATTTTTTTGTAAATGAATTTGAATTATTTTGGATGTTACTTATTATTGTTTTGAAATTGGAATGTTATTTCTTTAATATCAAATGATTTATGAGGTGTTGATTATTAGGGAAGAATTTGGGGTTTAGTGTTTATTGAACTTTAATTTTATTTTAAAGCTTTCTCACTAAGGTTCCTTTCAAAATTTAAAGCAACTGGATTCCTTATAATGTATATTAACGAAGGGTTCACTTTTTTTACAGTCTGTTCTAGATAGGCCCAACAACGCGGCAGCCTAAAGGTCTGAGCCGAATCTCAACCCCTCTTCCACGTCAGCCTACCTCAACCCCCCTTTCACGTCAACCCTACCAACAGTCAGCTCCCCAACCTCCAAAGCGACGACACTCCCTAGGGGAAACACAAAAATGTCCTATCTTGGGACCCCAACCCCCAAAGATGATCGCCCCAGTTGCCACAAGAGGAAACTACCCTTTTTTACACACTGACACCGCCAGACACTGGGGGGCGCGCCACTGCTATCATAGCAGCGCCTGCCACGCCCAGCACCGTCTATCGTCTGCCACCCCTGGCGTATTCCAAGGAGAGTTGACCCTTTCCTCATCAACCCTCAGAAGGTTCATAGCACCTTCCCCTATAAATAGCCCCCTTGACACAAAGAAAAGACCTCACGTATCGTTAATCTGCCCATTTACTTTGAGTTACACCATACACACACCGAATCTTCCATTGTTATTAGCATGCTTAATATTTGGAACGATACTTCTAGCCTGGTCTTTACTTTCGCTAGAGGTATCACCCATACAGTGACTCCATCCCTAAAGGGAACATAGTGGGCTTATAGATCCCAACGGTACACAGTCATTGTAGATAACTTATCTACATTGAACTCAAAACGACGTCGTTTAGAAGCAAAAATCAAGGTCTTTTGTATTTATAATTTATTTCAGGATTATAATAGTGTTTTTATTATAAGTTTTTAATTTTTTAAACCAAAACGACGTCGTTTTGAAAACGAATGTAGATAACTTATTTATATTCAATTTAGAAACGTTAAAGCCGAAACAAAATCTGTTTGGCTAGTAGCTATCTTTAAGAACTTGCTTACCATATTTTATTAATATTTACGATCTTCGGCCTATGCATTACGTTACATTTTTTTTAATCATGATACTATATTTTTTTCTCTCGAGATTTCGTGTTTTTTTATTATTTTAATTTGAATTAAGATAGTGATATTCAAATGAAATGATAATGAAGACATTCAAATTCAACCATGCTTTCCCAACTTGTTGATTTGATTTGCAGATGCATCCAAAATAAATATGATTGAATTGACACTAGCAGCAATTGCGGATCTAGTAGTATAAAATATAAAACTAGGCCACAATTGAATTTTCACTATAAAGATATTTATCTGTAGTACTCATATTTTAAATTTTTTACCAACAATCATTGTTTCAAGTATTTGTATGGCTTAATTAGAGGTATTGACTTCGAGCCATGAGAATGAAGAAAATAGTCTTGGAAGAGCCATCCTCTATGATAAGTAACAAAGCACAAATGTTAAGGGACGCGAACCTTTAAGGTGATGTTTGGTTGAAAGCTTTTTAGGGGATATCTATCTTTCTCAAGTATGGCTTTTAGAAACACCATGTTTGTTTCAAAGTTTTTCACCAAAAACCCATCTATCCAATTTGTCTGGATTTATGAGAAACATAGATATCCGCACTGTTTAGAAACCCAATTTGAAGGTGGGATTTTTCGGAAAACCGGTTATCTGGCTTTTAATGCACTGTTGATTTCATAAAGTTACATAATTTTCCCAGTAAAGTTTTTCCCCACCAAACAACTTTTTTTTACATTTTTCTAGATATCTCACTTTATCTATCTTTCCAATCATTTCTCTATCTATCTCATTTTCCTACTATTCCAAAAAAATTTCCTCAACCAAACGCCCCCTGATGGAGATATCAATAACAAAGCAAAGAACAGAGGGGAAAAACAGAGAAAAAAGAACGAAATGAATTTGTATATTTCTGAATGAATGTTTTCCATCAGTTACACTATTGGTTTTATTACATTCACTAGCAATGACTTCCAGCCACACAAATGCCACGTAGCACTAAAATATCTCACTACTAATATTCCAGAAATCTACACCTGTTACATGCAACATAACTACACCACCTGTTACACATATAGCTGCTACATGAACCTTCGTAACATTACAACATATATGCAACATAACTACACCTTTGCTCTCCAGACTTCCTTCGTAACATTGCTTTCCCCTAAAAAATGGACCTTGTCCTCAAGGTCCTAATGAAAAGAAAAGAACTAGAAATCATTTTACATAGGCTGCATATTTTTTTTTTTTCTGAAAGACTTTATCTCTCCATTCAAATACACAGCCATGGACTTCTACATGTCTGATAAGCATCTCAGGTAACAGAGATCTTAGTGAAAGATGGAGCTTCGCTGTTGTTAGCCCTCCACATGCTAATAAGGTTGCAGCCAATCCTCCTAGCAAAAAGCCCTGTAAGTGAAGCATGGTAAAGCTTTGAAGGCCATTGATACTAGCAAGTGATAGAAGCCCCATATATATAACCGAGCTATGTGACAAATTTATTTGTCTTAGATTTTGGGAAAAATGAGCTAGTGGCAGCATTCCACTATCATCAAAGTTGTAGCACTTCTTTATGTTCAGACGTCTTGGTTGTTTGCAATTCATAGCAATTGCGGCCAGACCAAGAGATGTAACAAGACATCCACAATTTTCAAGTGTCTTCAAATTTGAACATTTAGACAAGGACATTAATGTACTATCAGTGATGCTAGTACAACAAGATGTATTTATCATCTCAAGGCCAGGGCAACCACTAGCAAAGAGTAGCTGTGCAACCATGTCTGCAGAGTAATCTCTCAGTTTTGTCTTCAGGGCATCGATATTGTCTGCATTTGTCTTCATGGAATTGGGAGAGTCTCCATGGAACAATGGATCCATAATCCAACCAACTACAAAATCACGGGCTCCTTGAGTTGCTTCATTGTTTCCCTCTATATTTGTTAGAGGAAGGAACCCAGACACATTGACAGAGATACCAACAAATCCATGTTCGGCCCTATACTTTCTTCTGCACAATCTCACAGCTAAAAAATGCAATAACAAAATATGATGAACTGCCAAGTAAGGTTCTGATGTTGAGTGGCCCTTAGTTCTATTTGTAGTGCCAAATAGGGAAGAAAATCTTTGAAGTGGGGAATTTCCCTGATCAGTGGCAAACACATTGGGCTCGTTCACAGTAGTCCAATATAAGACTCGATCACCAAATTCTTTAAAACAAACATCCGCATAGTCTGTGAAATCTCTTATGATGTTACGACTGACCCATCCTCCATATTCATCTTCAAGTGCCTGTGGAAGAGCAAGGCTGTGTAGCATGACATTTGAAGGAACTTTTAACACAAACTGTGCATTGGGTATCACAAACTTCAAGGTCCACCCTTTAAAATTGTCCCTCTCCAACCATTCAGGCCTCATTTCAAAATTATCACAGAATCCACTCTTAAAAAGATAATAAGAATAAAAGTCTCTAACCTTGAAACTTTGAAGAACACTACTCGAGATATCAAAGGAAGGGTAACAAGAAGCAACATAACTAGATTTCCATGATCCATTGTATCGAAACCTACCAAAAGAATTATCCAATACAAGATTCCTCCAAAGGGGTTCATGGTTATTAAAAACATAAAAAGACTTGCTTACAGTGGCCAAAACCCCCAAACCGGTAACACCCAAAAATCCTCCTGGGTCACAAGTAAAATGAAACATTGTAAAGGAAACTGCTATTAAGCCAACACTTACAGGTTTAGGACAAAGCTCTGCACCATCAACACGACTTCCTTTCTTAAGAACGAGATCATATGTATATGGTTTGGCGTCTTCATGCTGAAGACTTGTTCGTCCAATATCCAACACAAGCTTTGATTCTCCAACCCCTTGAAGGCGGCATAGAGCAACCGACAGCTATGGCCAAGGAATAAGAATATGAAGGGAAGATTTAGAGAAAATCATTTCCCTCAGGTTACCAGTATACTTTGGCTCAAAAAGAAACTTATCCCAAACATTCATTAGTAGTTCTTGGCGAGACGCAACCACATCCATTGCGTAACCTCTTTCAATTTCAGCATTTGTCAATCCCATTACTGCCTTAACAATATCAATCTGGCAGCGAGGAACTACGACGTCAACGACACAAAGAAAAGGAAGAAACAGAAGGTCATTGTGAATGAGAAGAAATCCTCCAGGGTCCCAATAAAACAAGGCGTCAGATAGCATCATGGATCAAGACCTTGTATTTAGGCTAGGCATTTCATCAAACATGTGTCTGGCATACCCATTCTTGGCAAGATTGGACAACAAGGGAACGTTGAAGATCCCCCCAAATTTGGGTTTCAACATCTGCAAAATCTGCGCATAACCCTTCTTCATCGAGTTGCAAACTTTCGAATGGGACTGGTTCACTTCTTTCCTCGACAAGGGACGCTTGTTCCCAGAACCCTTGCAGCGCTGACCTCTGGGCCTTGGGGCCTGTGAAATTGAAGGAGCTGTTACAAGGAGAGGAGCTATGGAACTAGCCTTTGCAAAATTGACCCTCATCTTGGCGAAATCGACGCACAACTCGGTCCTTAATCTTGCAAAGTCAGCGTGCATCTCAGTGCTAAACTTTGCCAAATTTGTAATGGATACAGCAAGATTTATGAAGAGTGTTGTAATGGAAGGTGTTGCAATTCCATCCTGCATCTTGAAGAACGAAGATGAGCTCATCAAGATGAAAGCACCAATGTTAAGGGACGCGAACCCTTAATGGAGATATCAGTAACAAAGCAAAGAACAGAGGGGAAAAACAGAGAAAAAAGAACGAAATGAATTTGTATATTTCTGAATGAATGTTTTCCATCGGTTACACTATTTGTTTTATTACATTCACTAGCAATGACTTCCAGCCGATGCACGGACACGGGACACGGGACACGACACGACACGCCGACACGTTAATTCTAAAAAATGTCATATTTGGACACGTTGGGACACGTTTTGATATTAAATAATATTTTTAATATATATAAAAAAATTTACGTTTAATACATATAGCAACTCATAATAACTCATATACTAATCAAATATTTACATTTCATAACATAAATATTAAGAAAAAATAAAAGAACATCCCAAGAGTGTAGCAGCAGTGGCACTGGCAGAGGCAGAACTCGAATGATCCATCTTGTAATTCTATAAATGTGTCAAACAGAAAAAAAAATTAGTGAGATTGATTTAGTGTATAAAACAGAGCACTTTAAAAATCTGTGATTGCAATGTAAAGTGCAAAATTCTGTTTGCACAAGAGGGTGTAATGTATATGAACATGATCATGAAGAATATTTTAGAATTTCCAGCCAACTCTTAATTATTGTTATGGACATGGCTATTTGTAATGTAGCCAACCCAATAAAAGAAATACTGTTTCATATCACTTTTATCACCATGCACACCGTGCAGGGATTATTATAAATTGAAATACAGAATGTAGTACACACTTGAGCTTGTTTTGTAATTGGAAACCAGAAGTAGGAAAAAGCTACAATTCCACAAGGGAGCAGTAACACATGGTATTTACTTGAAGAACTCCATAACCCAAAAGGTACGGACATAGCAATATAGCATTCATATCTAATGCCACATAAGTAGCCTGGAGGCATGAGTTATGGATTCTACCAGTAGCCTCAGATAAGGGGTTAACCAATAAAAATAAGGCAAAGTACCTAACTCTTTACCAAAACCCTTCTTTCATTCTTTCACAGCTTAATATACAATTGCTAAAGCAAAAGTCCAGCTTAATATACAGAGAAAAAAATTTATTCCAATAAAAAAAATTGCAATGCAAGATATGAATCCTTTTATAATTTGCTGCAGCAAATGCACTTGAGATCAAAGTCTCTGAAATATCTCTCAATTAATGAGCTTGGTGTGCTTTGGCCTAAGTACAACCAATGTGTCCTTTTCCCCTATACTTGCTTTATGGTTCGTTTCTCTGGGTTCTATTGGAGTTTATAATATAGTTAAGCATGATATTATCGTTATATTGGAAACTATACAAAAGATGTTGTGTCAACATGTTTATCATAAGAACAAAATTCGCCAACATGCAAACAATCGACCTGGCAGGAAAATAGTTAACTTCAACCATGATAAGGGAGAAACAACTATGCAATAGTACGAAGACTCATAATCTAAAAAGAACTATAAAACGGTACTTCATTCAACTCTAGGAAGGACTTAACTATTGCAGGTAAAACAGAACAAAATCCCATTATGAGATAGAGCAAGCAGATAATATGGAATTGACAGTAAGATGCTTGTGTAAAATTTAAACCAAGTCCAAATAGAGGTGCCTGAATGAACAGATAAATATTTATTAACATATAAGGTTCTGGCATTTGTTTAACAAATGTAAGATATTCAGGTATTTCAAAAAAAAAAACGAGAAAAAAGATCAAATTCGTCAATTGGAGATGTAGACGAGAAAAAACCACACATAGCCTCAGACTCTCTAGACCCAACAATAATCCAAAAGGCGAGAATCGAAAGAGAATCGAAAGAGAATTACCGGATGTAGACGACGACCAACGACCGGAGAAGAAGACGAAGACCGGCGACGACCGACGACCGGCGACGAAGAAGAGAAGACCCAGACCAGCAACCTCCAGCGCGAGAGAGGATCAGACGATAGGGTTCAGACATCTTGTTTTATTAAATATTTTTTTTTAATTGTAATTTTATTTATTTTTAAAAAAAAATATCAAAACGTGTCCGAAAACGTGTCCATATACATTGACTGCGTATCGGATTCGGTCAAACTCGCGTGTCCTTCAAGTCAACGTGTCCCAAAAAGTCAACTGCGTGTCGGACGCGTGTCCTAACGTGTCCGAACGTGTCCGTGTCCGACACGTGTCGGACACGCATTTTTTTCAAAAAAACACGTGTCCGTGTTTCCTAGCTTCCAGCCACACAAATGCCACGTAGCACTAAAATATCCCACTACTAATATTCCAGAAAACTACACCTGTTACATGCAACATAACTACACCACCTGTTACACATATATGCAACATAACTACACCACCTGTTACACATATAGCTGCTACATGAACCTTCGTAACATTGCAACATATATGCAACATAACTACACCTTTGTTCTCCAGACTTCCTTCGTAACATCCAACAATATTCAAATTGGATTAATCGGATAATCAATAAACAAGTGGATATATTCAATTCATTAAAGCTGTAACAAGGATTTGTAAAATGGCTCGGGGGATATATCAGCAACCATTTTCTATTTATTCAAGATTTATAATCATTAATTATAAAAATAATAAATTATAATTCTTGATATTAAAAAACATACAACTCAAGTCCTAATCTTAAATAAAATCATAATTGATTATTGATTGGGGCCATACTAAGCTAGATGAAGGGCTAGTCTAATAACAGTCCAAGAAGCCAAATAATAAAGACTTAAAGGAATATGGAAACATGTTCATCCCGCGTATACATAAATCGGTTGACACATAGCTGGATGGGCAGCGACATAAAATCCACCGGCCTCCTCAAGAGCCCATGATCGAAGGACAAGCACCACTACTAGAAAAAACCTGTATAGCGACGGAATTGCTATGGAAATTTTGTCGTTAATTTCATTCTCGCTATTACTTTCCGTCACAAATTCCCTCACAAAATTGTTTGCAATAGGCATCTCGCAAACGAAATAGGCTAATGAGGCTTCTTAACCCACCATGGAAAATGAATGCCGCCATACTAAGGTGGCGCAACCAAGTCATACCATTGCTATATAAAGAAGGCTCAAAGCCAAATATGAACATTTTCTCCATTATTACTTAATAATAATAACCTTAAGACTTTTAAACAAATTAAAGTATAAACATCGCCAGCAAGAATGATAGGTTCACCAGTAATAACCAAACAAACTCCCTCAATCTAGAGGAGTCAAATTGGAAGATAACTCTGTCTTTTCTTGCAAAAACATATAATTCGATTTGAGTTATAAGACAAATCAACGAGTGAATACAACAAGCGAGACTAGGAAACATATAAATTAACATTTTATTCAAATGATAAATATGAGAAATACTCAAACCTCAAATCAATTTGTATATGTAACATAAATTAATCATTTACTAAAATAATATATTGATTAAATCAAATGGAAAATTTGAAAAAAGAACATTCATTCCTAATAAATTCATATAATTCAAAAATTCATACTTCACTAAAATAATATACATATTCAAGTGTGGGTGGTATACTCAGACAGAACTACAACATGTCAATCTTAAGCTCCCGTATAAAGTAAATGAATAATAAGTTCTTTGCTGTCACAACTCAAATCAAAGTCCTTGATCGAGGCATATGCAAAACTAAATTATGCCATCGAATTTTCTGACTAGCCTAATTTTTACCAAAATACACTTAGATTTAAAGATAATGTAATTCCTTTCAAATACTTAATCTCTAAAATATAAACATATAATAAATTTCATAATGTCATTTCTTGCATTTCTCAAATATCATCAATATAAATAATTAAGGAAAGCAACCATTTAACTTCATTTTATGTCTTCTCGTCCCTCAAAATGTTGATGTATCAAACATTTCATATTTTTATTTATAAAACCACTATGTAATAAAATAATAAATTAAAATAAAATAATCGATAAATCAAAGTAAAGTTTTGACTTGTATAATCATTAGAAAATATCCGACGATTAGGCACCTTTACTTACCTACATTTGTGTTACATGCAGCAAACTCAGTTAAAGAGGCTACCAGCAACTAAAAAATACTCCTTCACATACATGCTTAAAGAACGAAGCCCAAACCCTCCTTCCAAGAATTTCTTTTCCATTTCCCCTATTTTGTGCTCTAACAAACCCTAGCAACTTCCTTACTATGGAATTGAAACCAAGCACCTTTGTCAATCCTTTTTCCCCCACAAGCTTTCAGATCTCATCAAATCTCTAACAATCCAGGTTTATAGAGTTCCATCTTTCTTTCTTTGATTAATTGATCTTCTCCATTTTGATTTATGCTCATGTTTGCTTTGTCAAATCAGAATATACGAGGATAATAATGAAAAACAATTTTTTTTTAGGTTTTTTTAATGCTAGTTGTGTTGTTTAAAAGACAGTGGGTGACAAATAAAATCACTAAGAGATTTGAACTCGTATATGAAGCAAATGAAATTATTAATATAAACACAG